CGACAGAGCCAGGATTGGAACGAACATGTTGGAGCAGGCACTAACATGTCAAGGTCGTGCTATCGTTGTCTGCTTATCGAAAATTCATTGCAATTTTATGCAAAACCACTCAGATTTCCGGAAATTATTGCGACTTAAAAAATTGATTGGGCCCTTGCGTAAACCTCCTGCATTCCCTCCCCCCAAAATGCTATTCGCTCGCACCGCATCGCATCCACCGCTTGCTAACCTGTCCCTGCTTCGCTCGGGTGAGTTAGTAACGGGATATCTGCCCGGAGCCCTGGCGAAGACCTGCTCCGTTGACCCGGGGCCGACACAAAGAGGTTACCAAATGTCCTCTAGATGGTTTCGTCAGCTGCCTTCCATTTCACATTTTTGTCCACCTCTAGCATTCAGAGTGTCGAGAGATATTAGCGGCAAATGGGTAGATTCCAACGCCTTTCATGCGCCTGCTGAACACAATCAAGTATTGTTCAGTTTCGTTCCCTTGGCTCTGCCCAACGTCGTCCTGTAACCGAGGTAATATTGGCCAATGCCTTCTTTTAATTATGAGCTCAAGCCCCCCTACCCCGGACCAGTCTGGTTTAATTTGTCGTATGGTGATTGGAATAACGGCGTACCGTGTGCAGAATATCCCGCAACTGGCATACACATGTCTAAAATGGTCTTGCACCTGGCTTCCACGCGTTTGTGTCTTCCAGTTCCTGGTGTAACATGCCCGAAATAAAGTAAGATGCCGAGCGTACTTTTTTAATCGAGATTAGTGCGTATTTTTAACATTACTCCGTCTTGTTCAGTTCATTGTAAATAATGCGTTTCGGGCAGCGACACACGTGTTGTAGACAGCAAATGTTTATTTATCACTTATTTTGTGGTGAACCATTTACATTTGTCGTCTTTTTCGAGCCGTTTGGGTTTAAGCAAATAGGAACTCTGCTGCCCAACATGTGCCCCACCCTTTAAAAAGCGTATCCGATCTTAGGCCCATGTTCCGCAGGGTTTCTCTGCAGAGAAGTGTTACACGACCGCACTCAAATGCTTTCGCTTTGACAGTTGAGTGTTATGTTGAAATTTGAGAAAACGCCTGGCAAGATTTGAAAGCATGTTACGGAGCAATGCGACACAGGACGTCAATTGTTGTAAGTGTAGGATCAGGAGGACCCTTATCCACCAAATTTCTGCCGCAGTTTGCGTAGCATCAGCACGTGGTATTCGTGACGCGTAGTTGCCCTTTAAAAGCGACAATTTTTCCGGGCATGATCTAGTTAGGGCCGTTTTTCGGTGACCCGGGCGAGTTCACCCAAGCGATGCGACGGGCTGTTTTCGTTCGGCCGGCTTTGTTTGTTGGGCGTCTGGCGGGGCCGGCGGACCCTCGGGCGCGAGCGGCCTTCACCGGGTTCCCGTCAAACGAGCCGTCATCGGCGGGTAGGGGCAGGGTTCACGTAACGCGCAGTGCGTGTGCACATGCATATCGGAGATTGGATGCGATCTAACCAGCTCTGCTTCGTCAGAGCTCGCATCGCGTTCAGGCAATGCTTACGATGCGCCCACGCCCGCGCAGCCTATTTCTTCACTGTCATGTCATGGGCACGCGGGGCGAGCATAGCCGAGCGAGACCCGCCAGAGCTCCTGAATAGCTATTCCGACCCGGCCACTAACCCGCCAAGTGCCTTTTGCGCGGTCAGCTTCACACGAAACACGCGGTGGCGCGGCAAGTGCAACAGCGTATCGTGGAAACCCGTGCAAAATCCTTGTTTTGCATAAGGTTCGTTCAACTTGGTCTGTCGGAAGTTGAAGGCCGTTCGACCGTTGCCTGTTGCTGGACCGTCCATCGGCGTGTCCAGCAAGGTCAACGGTGACGAGGGCATATGCTATACACCGGGCCCAATACGATCCAGTCCGGTCTTACGTCGTCTAGAACCGTTTAAAGCCATCGGGCAAGCCAGACGGGTAGCTTGATCGGTTGAATTCGCCTGGCTTGACCTGGGACCACTGGCACCACTACGGATCGACTGGGACCGGCCAGGAACCGCCCGACCGCGGTCGAGTCGGTCCCGGTTTTTGCGGTTTGTTCGGGCGTCCGTTCCGCCTGCTGTCACTGGAGCGTGGGCTTAGGTCAGCCACGCGCCTGTTGGATGGTAATAAAAGCGGCATTGAAGGACTGTCAAAGCGCACTTAACTGCCCATGTCGATCAATTACAAAGCTGACTGGTAGAACTCTGGCCAGCTTCTGCATGTGCCGATCAGAGGCAAAAAGTTCCGTCGCTTCCCGCTTTTACCTCCAGAATTGTTCGCAGCGGCAAAGGGAACCCGAAGTTGTCGGGAATCCTTCAGCAAATGTAGCCCAATTGTGTTGGATAGTGGAGCACCTGCTTTCCTGCTTGCTTTCTCAGCTGTTCGGAACGGTGCATTTATGGAGGAAATGTTGCGCATTCACATGGACTTTAAACAAAGACGATCATGCTGCGGTTCGTGGCCGGTTTAGCAGAACTCAAATTAATGCCATACTCCCAGTTTATTTGCTGGCCTTGAAGGATAATTTCCGTTCAGACCATCATGCCTGGGGCAAGACAGCACGTACGTCAAGTTCGCCCGTGGCAGGCCGCATGATATGTGCAGCAGTGGCATTACGCTGCGACGTTGCAAAGTGCGTTGATGCAAATATTCAGTGGTTCTCTGTAGTACAATGCCAGCTATGCCATTTTGCGAGGAAATTCAAGAGGTGGACATTGGACAGGAAAAGTGGACAAAAAGTGTTTAAGTTCACCTGTACACGACAAAAAAGGTACGAAAATATGACGCGACTTCATTTCCGCGGTGACTGTTTGGTGTGCAACGTGCTGTCAGAAGCATAATCAAAATACAGACAGGCGTTTTGAAATAACGTAGTACTCTTCGGCACGCGGCGTTGTTATGCTGGGTGAAGTGCATTTCAATTTATCATCAACACAACAGCGAAAACGTTACCGAGCGATTCGTCGATAAGCCTCCACGCGTGTCCAACCGCGCTGCAAAAGCAAAGTTTTCCCTTTCCTGCCTGACGACCCTCAGTCGTTTACCCGGGGGACTCGGAATGCTTCTGATGCTTCGCACGAAAGGGTCGGAATGCTTCTAACGCTTCGCACGAAGACAAGCATCTGCGATGCACGCAGCGTTCTGGGGCCGGCCACAATGGCTGTTGGGGCCCCAGCGGCGCTCACAATGCCAAGATCTGGGTCAGAACAGCGCTACCGGCGGGCGGCGCGCAATACTGAAGCGGCCCGCCCTCAGAATAATACGTGCCCGATGCTCCAACCGGTCCTACGCCGGGTCTAGCCGGCGGCCGAGCCGCGCCCATGCAGGCGCACGCGTGCCGCGCCGTGATGGCTGTTGGCCATGCGACGCGGCGAGCCTGCGCCGGAGTCGGGGCGCCGCGCGCGGTGCCCGTGGTCAGAGCGACGTCGAGTCGGGGTCAGATCACACACCGGTCGGTCGCTGCCGGCGACACTCGTCGGTGTGGAGACGGCTGCTGCTGGAGGTAGGCTATATCAGGCAAGGCGATCAGGTCACAGCGTACGTCATCGACATCTGCTAGCTGCAGCTAAGTTTCACATTTGCTCGCTTCTTTCTCGTGGTATGCTGTACTGCAGTACAAAGCACCATTCCATGAACCACACGACGCAAGCATCCATCAAAGGCTGACCCGTGGAATGCGCATAATTGATTCAAGGTATGTGGTGGGGTCGATCTTCCGGCGATTCATGTTCGTCATGCAAGGTAGCGCCTGAGGGGCGACAGTTTTAAAGCAGGCCTTCCCCGTCAGGCACCAGTGCGGGACTATCGCGCCTTTGCGTGATGCGCCATCGCACAGGTGGTGTTCGCGCCATGAGCCGCCCTGCCAGCCAGGCCGATGACTGAATAATGCATGCTCTGTTTCACATCGGCGGCCGGATGCCGACCACACGTTTTTCACCGGTGCCTTGCGGCCGATGCCGGATGTCGGAAGCACGTTCACCCGGGGGTCCGACCCGCAGCTGCCGGGTTTGAGTGGTGCACCTTTCGCCATGTGAACTTGTCGGCATCTCTACTGAATAGAAGGCGCTCATCGCTCGTGTGTGACCTGGTGTCCAGTGCCGATCGCTCGCCGTCCGCGGCGCCTGACCAGCTCCCGTCGGGTCCACCCGCACGAGGCTCGCTGCGGACAGACCCGCCGACTGCGCGCTCTCGCTGGGGCCTGACCCGTGGGACTGTGACCCTGACCCATGACCCCGCTGACCCCGCTGACGCCTTCCCTGTCTCCACAGGCTCGGCCACCCGCCTGGATTGCGTGGTGGAGATGTTCGACCTGCTGTTGCTGAAGACCCGGAGCTCGGGAGCCGAGGCGGCGGGTGGCAGCGAGCCGAACACATCGCCTATCCCCAGGCGTCCGTTGGGGCCCTGAGACCGGTCCCGTCCCGATCCCGGACGGGGTCCCAGGGCGGTCCGACGCCGGAGCGACCCAGCGGCACGCCTCTGAGGCGGTGACCGAGGCCGCCGGAAGCAGGCTGAATATTCCCGACGGCGTGCAAACCTCCGGAGAGGCGTCGGGAGGCTTGGAAAGGGCGCTGCACGCTCCGATTCTGGCACTGAGTCATCCAGATGACACGCTGGCGCCCGGCGCCAAAACGCCGCACGCTGCAAGGGACTTATTTCACGCCCGTGCGGATGGCGAAAACATCGAACGCGGCGCTCCAAGCCCGCTTGGATCGACGCTGCCGACGGCGGGAGCGGCCAGCCAGCAGCGGGAAGGGGAGGCGAGTCACGGCGTGCTCACCAGCCACCCGCCGCGGCGCCGGCCCGCTCCGCTGATTGTCTGTGTCTCGCCGTCGGACGGCGAGGCCGGCGGCGGCGAGTCCGAGTCGGCGGACAGCGGCCTATCTGAGTCGATCGACTCGTGCCCGCCCAGCTCAGGCCCCGACCTGCCCGGCGCCGGCGCCAGCTCGCCGAGCCCGCCCGCGCCGCCCGCCGCCGCCACGGCCTCCGGCCAGCGGGGTGCGCGGCGAGCGTGGCGCGCGACGGAGCCGCGCCCGCGGCCGCTCTCCTGCGTCAGCAGCTCGTCGTCGGCGTCGTCGGGCGCCGGCTCTCTGCCGCGGCCGCCGCTCCGCCGTCGGCAGCGACGCGACAGCGACGACGCCTCGCCCGGGGCAGGTGAGGACGCGACCCGGCGCCGGCAGGTGTGGCGGAAGGGGAGGGGGAGAGGATTAGGCGGAAGCGGGCCAACTGTCTTGTCCGGGGGGGATTAGCGGCGCGGCTCCCGCAGAGGAGTCGGATGACGGCAATAAGCTGGGGACTACGGCGGAGGCTTTGTTTTTCGGGAAATGTAGAGTTGTTTCGTGGGGATGTTGTTTTCTTGCTTCTGTACCACTCAAGCAAAGCACCTGGCGTTTCATTGCATTCATCTTGGGATCTGCGTGGAGCATTAACGTAGGAGCTCTATTCATTAACATGGATTTGACTGTTAACGTGCTTCATCTACTCAAAATGCATCGAAACCCGCAGAGAAGATTTGATAAAAAGCACAGTCTTCTTTCCTTGGCGGTGCCTCGTAGCGAGTTTCGGGAGACCGAGGCGTATGTTGCGTCGGTGAAGACGTGCAAACACACCAGAACAGCAGGCCCCGAACAGCTTACCTGTACTCACCAGTGAAAACGAAAGCGAACCCACCATCACCCTGCCAGATCCAAAACGTGCAGCGGGCGTCACCAAGTGTCAGTATTGATCCCCACCAATCGTCACGCGCGACCCACCTGATACCCCAACCAAGGCAGGTTAAGCCGCTTATCTGCACGTGACGTTGTGGCCCGGTGACGTCCGATCCAATGATATCGGTTGCTGCCCCACATGCCGCGTGAGCTGTGCTGCCGGTACGTCACGCCTGACGTCACGCCTCTACCCGTTCCTGTTCTCACTCGCGTAGTGACGAACCGCCGAATGATTAGCGTGTCGTTCTCCCACATGAGGCTCGAGCTGGATCCCGGTTGTGCCATGGCCACTGAGCGCTAATATGACCAGTGCAGTCGCTGGGGTTCCTTACAAGGGTCGTGACAACGTGCGTCGCGTTCGTTTTTTGAAACAAAAGATCGCGCTCGCTCGTCGGTAAGGGAGCAGTGTGGTGTGGTGTGAACTTTGAGCCCCTGACCCGTCTCATATCGAGCGTCGTCCGCAGCGCTGGGGAAGGGAGCTCACGCGGTCGCACGAGTGGTCGCTGCCCCCGGTGAGGGCTGGGACACTCCGGGTGATGCCACGCCTGTCTCCAGTGCGCCGTTCACCCCACTGTCTCTGCAAGGTCACTATCCCTGAAGTGTGGACCCTGTGTCCCTGCGATCAGCCTGGAGCCTTGTTCCGCTGTCCCTGTTCACCAACTGAACGCCCGACCCCTCACTTCCCATTGAGCTGTGCATTGCTACCGCGAGCACAAGAAGCTGTGATCTCACGTGACTTTAATGCCGCATGTGGCATCTCATTCTTGCAATTTGCAAGATGCTACAGATATTTGAAATGATAGTAAGTGATAAATGCACCTTCCCCAAGGACGCAGTGGAAATAACGCCGCATTTGACGGTGAATTGTCCAGTAATGTAACCGTTTTGGGACCAGCGTTCTGGAGTATTTTCAAAGGAATTGGAAGGAAATCTCGGGGGACGTGACCGATGCCCACCATTTAAAAAAAAAAATCCCGCCGGCAGTAAGTGTTATCTCAACCTGATTTTTGTTCTTGGCAAAATTGTGCTTATGGGAACGAAGTTAACGTAAGGGATTTCACTTTATCACATGAACAGTATTAATAGATTGCATTACAGTGTTACATTGGCAGTGTGTTTCAGATATGTATGGGCATTTCCAAGTGTGCAAGCTCGTGTTTATTTTATGAGGGACAAATCCTAAGAGCTCACGCTAATGTGGAATGCCACGGAAAAAGTGATGAGAGCATCATGGGTGAATGTAGGTATGAAAATTCACGCAAACGCTTATGGTATGGTGTTGTGTATAAACAACCTTACTTGACAAAAGCTGTGTACCGTATCGGGCATTTTCTCTTATTACGCTCCGTATGGGATCGCGCTGTCTACGTACTGCTCTGTGCCGAATCGCACACTCTTCCAATTCCACGACCCCCCCCCTGGGGGGGGAGAGTCATGATTCCATGACTCCCCTCCCCCTCCCACCGTCCCTGCGACGTACTCACGAGTTCCACCATCGCGATCGCAGGCAGGCGACGGAGTAGTATTGTTTGCAATGGACACGTGGCTGTGGCAAGGTAAGAGCGCGGTCTTCCTGTGCTGCCGGGCCAGGTGTTTGCTATGCTGCACCGCAGATAAGATTGCGCTGAAATGTCTGGCGAACTATCTTTAACCCGGCTGATAGAGGTCGCCTACTTGGCCGTCATTTTTCCTATTCGGTGGTGCAGGCCGTCCGCAGTTATCCCGATTGCTCACTGATCTGGCTGTGCTTGTCACGCCAGATCTGCCAATCTGAACAGGAACAGAGCCGAGGTAGCCGAGGATGGGGAACGGCCTAACATGGACGGGCCCTTCGTGCTCTCGGGTATTGTATCAGACGCCCATCACTTGCCGCGCGATTGATTTTCATGTTTTCAGCTGCTCATTATAAGTATCATCTTCTCGTTATCTAAAAAAGCGTTTGTGGTGATATACGTAGCCTTTCTTCGAAGTCGAGTGTGTCTTTTTTAATTGTTTCCGAACGGATAAATACGCCGGTAAACAATAGCTTCGTAAGAATAAACATGGATAATTAATGGGTGTAGATATATCAATAATAGATAAATCTGTTATGATTGATCAACACCTGCTTCAGAATTTTCCATACATAAACACATTTCCTACATGCACATATGATTTTTATACCGACTTCATCTGTAGGCGGACTTCATTTCTAGCACCACTGCATGCATCAGAGTTGATTCCACTTTCGCTTAACCGATTCGAGCAACACAGTACGGGCCTCGCCGCTCAATCTGCGGCGCAGCGTTCCGTCGCTCATTAGCGGTTGCGCTGTGTTCCAATTCACATGCATGTGAAGACATGTCATTACTTTTAGGCGTGCGGCCTGGTATGTCAACCAACAGCCACAACGCCGAGCAGATGAAATTTTCGGATTCGCTCGCCTCTTCATTTTTTATTCACTCCCCTCTTAGCGTTGCAGCCTTTGCATGCCCTCGTGCACGCATACGGAAGGTGACGTCACACCCCTGTGACCGACAGGAGGGCATTCGAGCGACCTGTCGTCCTCATCGACGCTGTCCGTCGGCGCGTCCAGCCCGTTCCACTTCGACGTGGGCCTGAGCCCGGCCTGTCGCGTAGTGGCCGAGATCGTTCACACCGAAGCCGTCTACGTCAGCGACCTGCGGGAGGTCATCGAGGTGAGAGCGCCGGCGTCCGTCGACGCCGCCATAGGTCACGCCCGCGGGCAGTTCCGGCACTGCCGGGTCGCCGTGCAGCCTTCCGGCGGCGTGCGATTTGGGTCAGAAAACGTGCCAAGAAAACAGGGAAGACAGCTCGGTTGCGGCGCCAAATCAATTACGAACATGTGCGCGCAGAGAAATGGCCCTGGAGGACGGCGAGTTCCTGCTGTGTCAGCTGGTGAGTCACGTGTTTGCTCGGCGGCAAGTGCGCATTGCGCTTCAGAGGTGGCCACCAAGTGCTCGGATCCGACCGCTTCAGCTCACTGGTATGGACGCCGTAAATCGTTCCTCTAGAAGTCTGAAGCTGTGATATCTGTGACAGATGTGTTGCTATCTGTGACATTAAGCGATGTGTCATTAAAATTCTCATCGTCCGCGACAGAACCAAATGACCCCTCAAATATTGTCCGGTGAACATTTTTCCATTTCCAACCGGGGATTGGTAGTCTGCTGCTGCATCATGGGAACGATGATGCCCCTGACAACTGGGGAAACAGCGGGAACAACGATGCCTGCCCCTGTCAATCGAGGAGACAGCCGGACCGAACGCGACTCCAAGCGGGATAGCGCGCCACCTCGCGTTTTCGTGGTCTCGTCTGTTACTGTCAAGTAAACCGCGCCGTGGCTCAGAGCACGGTGGGGGCCAGCGTACCTCGCAGCCGACCGGGCAGTCGCCTCTCCCGTCCGGCGGCCGTCACCTCGCTTGACCCGACACGCCAGCCTCGCCTGATCTCGTCGCGGCGCTCTCGCTGACGTGGCCGGTGGGTCAGTCGGCCCCGCCTGTCCGGAGAGATTACCCCGCTCCGCAGCCAGCTAATCAGGCGAGGGCTCCGATTCGAGCGCGACGCGACGGCAAACAATGGCCCGAAGCCCGGCTGGCCTGTCTCCGCGGTCGGCGGGCCCGAGCTGGGTGACCGGGTGGCCCGTCCCCACGGTCGGCGGGCCCGAGCTGGGTGACCGGGTGGCCCGTCCCCACGGTCGGCGGGCCAGAGCTGGGTGACCGGGTGGCCCGTTTCCGCGGTCAGCGGACCCGACCTGGGTGACCGGGTGGTGCGGGGGATCGCGGCCCGCAGGCGGCGCGTCCCTCCTTGCCTCGTGCCCGTCGGCAGGCGCGAATGCGAGGCTTTGAAGAGAGCGTGTCCGAGGTACTCATGGCCTTTTTTTTAAAAAATCAGCTGTGCATTTTGTTAAAACTGTGCATTCGGCGGCCCTAACAAGTACAGATATCACGTGACGCCCCCCGCGCTAAATCGTCACATCGGGTTGACGTCAGTGGACAGCTGCGCCGATTCAGTGCCCGCACCATCTGCACCTGCCCCCCCCCCCCCCCCCTCCATCCCACTGAGGCTTGTCGACCCGGGACGACCTTGAAGGGTTAACTGATCGCCGGCGCCCGGCCGGGCTATGGGATCGATCGTTTCCCGTGCGGGCGACCTTGAAGTGGGTGCGCCATGTGACCCGTTGCCAGCTGCCAGTGTCGGCGTTTGACGTCAGTGGTTCGTCTTAAAACAGCGTAATAATTCATGCGTTTGTCACGGCTCACTGCCGTGATTATTGACCTGGCGTGATGGCTTGGCGATGGCTGCCAGCCTGCGTCGAAGCCATGAGGTTTGGGTCATGGAAACACAGCCTGCAGTTGTCTGTCCTTCTTCATTAATGTGACCTGAATATCGTCTGTCAGCTGTGGATGCCTCCAAAGACGCATCCCGTCCAGAGGAATGCAGAGGCTCCTCACAATGTATCCTGGACCATTCGCGATGCTTCCGGAGGGCCAGCTAGTTTCTTGATACGCTGTGCCCAGCGCGTACACAACCACTAAAAGTGGCGTAGGCAGAACGTAGCGAAATCGTGAAATGCTTATCGCAGGTCGCGTGTGCAGAACAGCAAATGCTGCTGACAAGCTCAAACAAGGACGTTGTAAGGAAGCTTCTCATTTACGCGCACGCGGCATGCGCAAACAGCCAAAATGCTGACAGGTATTATAGGGTTGTGTACGGCTTAAATATAAATGTACACGTAGTGCACAGACACACTAGATGCCCATTGGGTCAAAGCGTTTAAAGCGTCAAGGCGTAAGCCCTAGTTACCACCATCAGACAGTAAAAGCTGTCCGTCCCCGCATACACATCTCGGGTCGTGGCGGATCACGCGATCAGGAAGCGACCGGTCGGTCCAGAGCGTTTGAAGCAGTATCAGATGATCTTGGGTTTAATCCCCTTCTGTTATGAACCTTTGCTAGACTTGTTTCTATTTTATGCTTTGGCACTGGAAGAAGTAACTTTTTCAGGTACCTTAAACGGTCGGTGGGACATGTTTTGTGTGAAATTTTTCAGTTATTGTAGCAAGGGACGAAAGAGAGAATGTCGCATTTGCATGCTATGCCAAAAATACTCTGCAATGAATGCGCGGCACCAATCAGAACTACGCACACAGGGAAGTGTTCCTGGGTAACCCAAAACAAACAATGACGGTTTGTCGTTATTTACTCATAGCATCATAAAAAGCCCGGCCGAATGTTGAAACAACAGCAGTCCAGTTCAAGGACGTCAGGTACCGGACGCCCGCCTGCGGCTAGCGCATCAGCTGAAGCGGCCCAGTGACGTTGCAGGATATCTGGCGGCGAGACGCTGACGTTGTCATAGCCCCAGATGATTATACCATGCACCGAAGCCAGAGTTGCCTTGCTAGAATGCGCATCGTTATCGAAATGACCTCACAAAAGCAGTTTAATCGCAAAGTATGCCGTGCAAATGCCTCGGCCATGAGTGGATGTAGCCCAAGTACATGTTTCGAAGGGTATGTGGCTTATAAAGACAGTTGCAACGCGTCCGTTGGAGGGGTTCTGGCAAGCTGTCACTTGCCGTGTAAGATATGAATCCGCAACGCTTTGCCACGAGGACACCCTAGCGGCACTAGTCATGCACGTGCTTAACTCTGATGAGCTCGCATGTGGCACGTTGAGTTTGAAATGACCGAACGCATTACGTACGTATTGAGGCGGTATGTTGACGCCGCATCCACCACGCATGAGGACGAGTGACAGAGCTAAAACGCCCTTGCAACTTGCCATCGCTCCTCGAGCCTGGTCGGTTTCCTCGACCCGTTTGTTGCCAGTTTCTTTTGGCAGAGGCAAGATACGTTGGGCGATGGGGTGAGTGAGTCAGCAAGGAGCTGGCGGCGGAACATCGAGAAGGCCATCGCAGGCGAAAAATGCTGTCTGCTTTGGCTCCGAAATTGCCGGGCGTTGGGTTCGGTCATGCGACCCGAAACGGATCGCAGGGCTGACCCAATTACTCGCGCAAATGCATGATGACGTTGACGTCAGTCATTTGGTCACCAACGGACCCCTATTTGCACCGTGATTCTTGCGCTCGTAAAGCGTGACGAGCGAAGAGCTTTGCTGCTGCAGGCGCAGCTGGCACTCGAAACGGACCTGCCGACTGTTTACCGGCCGGCAGAGGCGCCCATTTCAGTCGACTTCGTCCCGAGCACCCCCGGCGACAGGGCGGCGGCGGCGGGTGGGGCAGAGCAGCGCGGGGCGGTGCGATCAAGGCCGGCAGTCGTCAGCCACGGTGCGGGCGGCGGCGGCGTCCGTTGGGTGCCAGCTCAGCTCCCCCTCCCCCTGTTCGACCACAGCGGGTGCGGGAGGCGCCTGAAGCATGGATGGCCGGAGGGCGCAGCGTCCGGGCGGCGGTCGCATCAGCTGATTGAACTGAAGTGAAGAGGGCGCTGTGGGCGGGTCATTTGACTTTGTCGTGGTCGAGCCGTAGGGGATCTGTTATTGGGGATTGTAGGGAATTGGTGGTGAGAGACTGGTTGGAAATTGAGTTGTGCGGGAATGTGGCAATTTTCGCCGAATAATTTTGTGATGTGCTGAGGCTCCACGCAAATAGCAGAAACAAATGAGAATGAAGACATTTTTTGTCAACAGATCTTTATCCCTGGGCACAAATAACAGCATGAAGTATTATAACATTTTATGCCCGGTAGTGTTGACGGGACCCAATTAATCCAGGCCAACGGCGCTCTTGGCGTTCCAGCAATGACAGTCCTCGGTAGGTTTTGGCAGACGTACCCACCTCAACCTTGACTGAAACGGGCGTGGTCCCAGTGAACAACTGGTAGGTAGGCTTGATGAAACTGCTGATTGTGCTAATGAGTTCGGTTTGATGCCTGATGATGGTAAACATGAGCTACTCACAATGCAATGAAGATGTACAGTAAGGATGATTTATCATGATTTCATGAACGAATCTGACATCATCGGTCATTCGACGGATTTTTTCATTTCATCAGACCTGAAACCCACGGTTTTTTGTTCTGCTTTTTTTCTTTTCACGCGAGGGCATGCTATTTTCACAAAAAAACGACCACGCCGCGCTCCTTTTTCCACCTGGAGGCCCGACACGAAACAACATATGAGACTCTCACCCTGAGAAGGGTCTCGAGAGGACGCCAGAGACGAGATGAATGTGTCCTCAGCCGCCGGCGAATGCCGCGGCGCGCCTGCCGTCTGTCGAATCCTACCCCCGCCACGTCATACCCGGGTTCAGCAATCAGCTCCAGCTAACGTCGTTAGAGCGCCGCCCGCTGAGAAATTATCTCGCCCACTCAGCGCCCGGCGCCTCCGGCACCCGAGAACTCTCGCTCGGCCCGCCGCCCGTCCCCGGCCTGGTCCGTCCGACTGGCGGGGATCATCCGGCCAGGAGGACGGCGGCGCCCACATGCGTGGGTACAGCACGTCGAGGTGTGACATTCGCTGATGGCATTATCCGGCAATCTCTCCAGGCGCTCCGGCGGGGTGGGACTTTAAGGGAATGTTTCACATTTGAAGATATTGAAGGAAGCATCAGATATGATGAAACAAACTCGTTTGTACTTATTGCTGTGCTTTATAGGGAAGTAGACTATTTATGACGTCATGAATGTCAATGCCAACGCCTGAATTATGACGTCAT